TTTTTTAAGAAGGCTGTCTACTAGTGGAGTTCCTGGCCTGAGAGGATATTACTTTCCAAGGAAAGGATTTCTTTCATTATTTAAGGGTAAGATTCCTGGATTCTTACTGGACTCTTAATCTCTGTTCTGAGTAATCCATCTTTTTTATTGTTGACCAATAGTCATTCACCACTAGGGTTGTATTTAATGAAATCTGAGTTATTTTATGGCTTTTTTTGTTTTTCTTTTGAGACCGAGTTTTGCTCTCATTGCCCTGGCTTGAGGGCAATGGTGTGATCTCAGGTCATCACATTCTCTGCCTTCTGGGTTCAAGCTGTTCTCCTGCTCGGCCTCCTGAGTAGCTGGGTTTACAGGCATGCGCCACCATGCCCAGCTAATTTTTTATATTTTTAGTAGAGATGGTGTTTCACCAGGTTGACCAGGCTGGTCTCGAACTCCTGACCTTGGGTGATCCACCCGCCTCATCCTCCCAAAGTGCTAGGATTACGGCACTTTAATCCTAGCACCGTGCCCGGCCTGGGCCTGCTTCTTTCATTCTCTTTTTCTTTTTTTTTTCATTAGCAGTTTAAAATTGGTGACTTATTCAGACACAAGCAAAAGAATATTAGCCCAGCTTTGGAAATAAGTGTGAGCGCATGTATGATTTTCCTAGTTTCTCCTCCCCCTTCGCTTTTTGCTCTCTTGTTAGTATGTTAATTGTTTTCTCTCTCTCAATCTTTTTTCCCCATTTCTTTGGCAGACATTTTTACTTGTCTTGGAAGAGTAGGTGAAGAGCTGTTTTTAGGACTCTTTGAAAGGGTACAGTATGGATGACAGTCTTGGCTAATGGTAACCAGATCCAGGGAGCCGGGGTCAGTGTGAGCTGGAATCAGTTCAAATTAGCAAAGCACTGGTACTCAGTGGCAGGAATACAAGTGACCGCAAATTGTTTAACACATCTGGAAAGGGATACTGACATCATCCTCAGAATCTGTGAGGAATACACATAGCCCGTAAGACACATTCCTCTTTGCCCCTATAAAGATTCTTTGAAGAATAATACCCTTAGCAATTTTCTAGCCAGCTTGCCTGCTTATTTATCTTTGAGGACAACATGCCTCGTGGAGCTCCACAGGCCCCAGAGGATTCTGCATTTGAAAGTGCTGAAGCTGAGAAACTCGGTCTTGGTGGACCCCAGGAGGTCTGCTTTTCCTCTACTCATTGTTCCTTTTTTTTCACCGGCAACTGGCATTGCTGTTTAAATGGGTTGTTCTTTGCCGTTTAAGTTGTTTGGTAGTGGTGTGTCAGGATTTGGGTTTTCTGGATACTTTCCCAGCTGGTGACTTGAGTGGTGGTTAGGGAGGAGGTGTTTTAGGGCTGTTCTGAAGCTGTTGAGTTAGGTGTATGGATACTCACAGCTCATCTGTTGAGGAGAATGCTGTTCTCATTGTGCTGCCTTTGGTGGTGCTGTGTGTGGCCCTTTAGATGTGGGTGGAGGTGAGTTGGGGCAGTTAATGAGATCTTTTTTAGGTGCTTTTGATAAAGTAGCCTGCACTACAGGATTCATTGTGACTTTTTTCCTTAACCTGCGCGTATTTCTCTGCTAGCCTTTGCTGTCTTTCTCATGCCTTTGATTTTCCCAGCACCTCTTGGTTGAATTTACATAAGTGCTCTGCTGTGGTTTAAATGTGTCCCCCAAAGTTTATGTGCTGGAAACTCAATCCTCAATGCAACAGTTGGGATGTGGGGCCTAATAAGAGAGCCCTCATGAATGAGTTAATGTTGTTATT